CTACGTCGTCTCTCTCTCTCTCTCTCTCTCTCTCTCTCTCTCTCTCTCTATATATATATATATATACACACACACACACACACACACATACACAAACTCACAAACCCTGGCATTGATGGTAATGATTAGCATTTTACTTATTATCATTTTTATTTCTTCTAACTGCAGTGTAAGATTCTAGTTTGTTTGCTTCGTATTTTATATCTATATTTTTTCTTTCGGGCTTTGATATTTCTTTGATTTAACTTTTGATTTTCATTCCCCAATGCTCAGAAGATTGCCACATATTTTCTGAATTGATTGTTCTTGTTGACCAAGTAAGTGCATATAGCGATTTTGGTTATTTGGTCTACAAAGGCCAATACTCAAATGACAAGTCCCTCTTAATTTAGTGATTTGTCATTCTAAACTCATGTCTCACTAGGCATGCGTGATACATCTTGCACATCAAATCAATGAAATACATAATGAACGGTTAAACGGCAGTTTCCAGCTTTCCTAATACCAAGCAGGTGAAAATAGTAGCACTACAGTTTATCAAACAGGGTTCCCAGCTTTCAGGCTACCAATTTTCACTTTCCTCCCAGATTCCAGGAAAGTCAACAACAAAGATTTTCCCAGGGAAACCACAGAGAAAGTTATCAAACGCACCCTAAGGAAGAAAGCTTTTTCTTCTTCCAGTAAGAGTCTAAAAAAATTCCAAGCCTTCTCTATTGTGAGGCCCAATATCTCTTCTAATACAATAAAAAAATATTTAATTTATAAATAAATAAAAAACCTGACTTACCCAGCGGTACGTGATTCCTAATTAGCCAAATGCTTCTAGATCCACTATGTTTTCCATCTTGCTCTAGATCCACCAATCTAGGAAACATTCTCTCTCTCAAACTAACAAACTCTCTATGAAATCCCCGTTTTCTAGGATGACTCTTAGCTTCCTTCTATCTCCCTAGCCTTGTATGCAACTCTCACTCAAATTCCATTAAAATAAAAAACTATCCTATTTAAATGGAAATCTAAATCTATTTAAATGACAACTTTGTCCCTTTGTCCCCTTGTTAACTAAATAACGACATTCCCTCTTAAAAAGAAAAGAATGAAGCACTAAATAATAAAAAAAAACAAATAAAAAATACAACTCTTAAACTCTAAAATTAAAATCCCAAACAAAACCCGACTGTTTTAGCTCTTGCATCAAACACGATTCATTGGAGAAAACTCGTCTCGAGTTTTGAACTGTGCCAGGATGAGTCTTGTATTACCCACGATCTTCTTCAACTCTGAAGGCCTTGTCATGATCCTTCAACCCATGGCCTTTCCCATCTCTAGATACACAATCACTTGATAGGACATGTCTTTGTCATAAAACTTTTTATTAGTGAAATTAAATATGTCTTCCTCATCAACCTCCCTGCCTTCCCAATAGTTCTCGATCACCTTATCAAAATCATCTTTATACGTTGCATTCCCAGCCCGCCACACCCCAACCCCCGTCCCTCAAAAAACATGCCTCCTTCCGCAACTCCCTTTCTTCCTTCATTGTTTTCCATAGGCACTGGATCCTTTGGGTTTAAGTCAACCTCTTGCTTCTCCATCTCTCCATTGATAGGAAATTAGATATCCTTGCTACCTCAACGGCAACATCTTTCCTTTCACCTTGTTCTTCATCAAACACAAGACCTTCACTAGAGATGGGGTCATATTTGACATCAAGGAATGGTGATTCTAATTGAATTGAAGATCCAATCCAACTATGGTCTTCACCTTGAACTGGTTCTTTATCAAAGAGCAAACCACCATGAGATCAAAGCGATTAAAGTGGTCCTCAAGAGGAAGATCAAAACCCCTTACTTCGTTGTTGAAAAGATTCTCATTGGATTGTGAATCATCTCCCACTTCAACATCTTCTTCGCAAACGGGTTCATTGGACATTCTCGCCACAAGGCTTGAGTTTGTCATGCCATCTAATTTACTTGGCTCTGTAGCTCTTGGATCATGTTGATTTGGGCTTTATTTTGGCTACCTCCTCTTCCATATCCCCTAACTACCATGGTGGATCAATAAGCTTGCTCAGATACCACTATGATGCAACAAAAACAACAGGAAAGAAAGTAGAGAGAAGACATTCCAGCCAAAAAAAAAAACCTAAATCAAGCACACCACAAGTAAGAAACAAGAGAGAACGGCGCAAACTTTCTACAAGAAAGCTTTTATTCTTTTAATAAGAGTCTAAAAACATTCTCAGTCTTCTCAATTGTGATGCCCAATATATCTTTTCTTACACTAAAAAAAACGTCTTTCATTCTTAATAAATCACAACCCCAACTTACCAAGTGGTACGTGATTCCTAATTTTGCCAAATACTCCTAGATCCAATATGTTTTCCATCTTTCTCTAGATCCACCAATCTAGGAAATATTCTCTCTTTCAAACTAATATACTCCTTACAAAATTCCTATTTCTAGGATGAATCCTAACTTCCTTCTATCTCCCTAGCCTTGTACACACCTCTCACCCAAACCCCATTAAAAGTGGAAACTCTCCTATTTAAATGGAAACCTAAAGCTATTTAAATGACAACATTTTCCTATTGTTAACTAAATAATGACATTCCCTCTTACAAAATAATAAAAATAATAAAACAAAAAATATCAAAAACTAAAATCCAAAGGAAAACCTAAGACTGTTCTAGCTCCTGCATCAGTCTTTCAATGAAACTCTCTCACTGGGAAGAGTTGGATGAAGCCCTCAACCTCGGGTACAAAACTAAGCTCACAATTTGGTAGCAGTCCCTACCGCAGATTTCTGGAAATCATATTTAGTAAAATTTGAAAAACAGCAAGTTCCAGAGTTAAAAGAAGAAGGTGGCTAACAATGAATATACTAAACAACAAAACAAGACTGAATGAACAACTAAAAATCCAATTTAAAAGATATCAAATGGATAATGGGGATTTTTAAGAAAAGAAAAAAAGCATATGAGATGTTTTTTTAATATAATGACTCATTGGAATTTTAATTTTTTATTTTATCTTTCCAAGCTCCACGTACATGTCAGAGGGCAAAATTATCGATTGGCCTTGACTTTTCTCTTTTGAATGGAACTTTCTCCCTCTATGCATTTTCTCAATCCAAGCATCATGAATGAAACCACACCTTGCAAACAAATAACCTACAAGAATTTTTTTTAGAGAAAAGGCACAATTGGGCATAGCTTTTCATGGAGTAGAGAAGAAAATCCTCTTTTGGGAACAACGAAGTGACAGAGGGTAGGTGCTTCGACTTAGAGAGAGGAAGTTCGAGAAGAAGCCATAGAAGCCTCTGATTTTGAGTTTCAACAAGAGAAAGTTAGAGAAAAATGCTATCTAGGGTTACTTCAAGTGGCCGATTCGTGTGCTTCACTATCATCTTCAACTCGGGTTACAACTTTTTTGGTCTAGGGGTTCAAGCTTGGGGAATTTTGGAGTTTTTGGAGCCATGTATGAGGGATCTTTCTCTAAGGTTTGTTGAACCCAAGGCTAACAAAAAGAGCAAAAAAATATAGGTTCAAGCTACACCAGAAGACCAAGGCAAATATGCTTCCAAGTAAGATTTGATTCATTCAATGGAGAAGCTCTAAAAGATTTAGGATAAATTGGAGAAGGTGATTTTCTCTTTTATTTTTTCCACGCTTATATTTTTTCTCTCTATGAACTTCATCCCCTCCAGAAAACTTTGTCTGCCCTTCTTTTGTCTTGTATCATTCAGGAAATTCAAGAATCAGGACTCATGGGATAGGTTAGGTTTTTCGCTGAATTGGATATGACCAAGACAAGAATTTCCTATATGTGTCTTTTTTGTTTTATTATTATGTTTTCTTCATGCACCATTTCTGAACATTAAAGACATTGGTTGTTGTTTTTTGCAAATAACTCTGTTGAATTGTCTCTACAGGAAATATATTTTGTGTGACCTTTTAACTATAGAAAAGAATTCCCTCTGTATATTCTGTTGAATTGTCTCTTTCCTACCTCTCCCTCTCTCTCATCAAACACCAACTCATTATGCCCCTTTCTCACTCTGAACCCATTTCTCATATTTCCACAGCCCCTCAAATTTCTAGTTCGGTGAAAAACTCTTGCAAATGGGACTTTCTTTCTCTTCCAAGTAGAGAGAGAAAGAGAAAACTAAAGAGAGAGATTCCTAGCATTATTGTGAAACTATACCATGTCCCTCACAGATAATCCATCCACAACGATGTCGCCACCAAAGACATTACTGTTTCTTCGATTGAGCTCCGGTCATCCATAGATTTTTGGTTTTGCTATTAATGTGTTTTTAAAATTGCAGCAAATTCTGTAAGAAATGTGCTGGTTTTTGGTTTGTAAATAGAGAAAAAACAAAATTCAATCACCCTTACTCATTAGAAAAAAAGAAGAAGACAAATTAGCACTTATCCTCTGAAAAATCCCAGGTGGATGTGGGAAGGCTAAAGTCAAAAGCTGAACCTTTGAGAGGGAAAAATTCTTAAAAGACACATCTGGCATGTTTTTTTTTTTTTTTTTTGTTTCCTTAAAAAGCCTTAAAGAAATCGCAGAGACCCAGGAGTTCTTCATCCCAAAAACATGGAGATAACAAATAAATGGATTTGTAAGACACAAAAGCGGAAACATAAAGGACAAGGCAGAGAAGATGTAAGATCATTGCATACAGTTATACGGAGCCTCAAGGAATCGCATTTAATATCAAGCAAAGAAACATGGGTATCAAGAGAGATTTATCATGGTTAGTGGAAAATCACCATAAAAAAAATTTAATGTCTTACATCATTTCGTACAACTGCAACATGTGTCACTGCCCAGCCTATTGAATGAAGTTTTCTGCACAAGGATGGACCTAGCTGGTCAGCCACCTTCCCAAACCTGAGCAAAGGGAGAAAAGTCAGATGGTAATGACATGTAAAACATGATCTATATCGCATAATGAATGGGCCTAACACAAAAACTCCAATTGGTTATAAAGATTGCCACAGTTAGTCCGGTGCTTCGGCCTGCTTGGGGTAATACTCCAGGTTTTATCTTTATTTAAAACTTCTAAAGATAAACAGAATCAAGAAAAATAAAATGAAAATTTTGATAAATAAAAAAATATAGATCTTCCAGAGAAGTCACTAAGATTGCCCACCCAAATTTTAAGTGTTAGAGCACTATATCATAATACTATCTATAACGGTCCATATTAATGCCATGTTGCAATTTATGAAGTGCAAAATATATTTGGGCACAATATGGGAACTTACCAAAAAAACAGAAAATTAGATTTTGATTGTCTATTGAGTAGAGGATAAAAACTTCTAAAATATCATCATAAAGATCCATTTTTTCTTCAAAAATCTAAGCCCATTCAAGCTCGAAAATTTGGGAATTTTAAAATCCAAAAAATATTTAGTATCTATGCATTAGAAAAATAGTAAGAGCTGATTGCAATGGAAATCAATGAGAAGTTCACATACAGTTTCCAAAAACATAGGCGGAGATATAAAAAATTGGAAAAGAAAAAGATTTGCCAGATAAACATGCTGCATTGCTAACATAGTCGTATGGAAATTTCAATCTTGCACATGAACTTCAGGAAACTCCAAATAATAAAGAAAGAAAATAGGCTTTCATAAGGCTGTGCTCCAGCCATGGTTAGGGAGATGTTTATGTGCAATATGCTGAAAACTACTTCGGAAAAAAGATGTGTGATAGAGATACAAAGAACCAGAGACTTCTTAAAGTTGCAGTCACACAGTGGCAGCCATCATATATACATTAATATCACATAAATCACAAAAGTTTCGAGCTGAAATTCTGTATACATCAACTAGACTGAAGGTCTTTCCAGTGTTCAAAATTTTCACTGTAATTGGATGTACCATAATCAAGGGCCAGCTCGATCAAGCTCCTGCTTTTGGTTCATATCTATCATGGTCATTCATAGAAAAGCATGGTCATCTATACATACAACTTCTAGGGTATCAAGCCAAGATAAAAAGAGGTTCAAGGCAAAGCCAATCTAGACATAAGGTCAATATTCCCTCTCTATTAGGAGATTAACCAAATATGGTGATGAGAATTACTTAAGTAGACCCCAAGATACAAACCTCCTTGGCCTTAGTCCTTAAGCTCAAAAGTGAGTTCACCACACCACTTTTTAATTTCTAGGTGGTCTCTTGTCCTTCCCTATTGATCCTGAAGGCAAGAGAGACCTGGTCATCCTTGCTCCATCCAAGAGAAATGTAGCTTTCCCTTGCTTGATGCGAAGTAACACATGGCCAACATTGACTTCCTTCCTCTGGTCATACTAGTAAACATTGACTTCCTTCCTGACGGATAACCAGCTCCAGACCAGCCGCATTTGTCAGAGGTTTTTTTTTTTTTTTTCTGTTAAACATGGACTAAAGGACAGGGTACTCGAGTATATTGGGAAATAACTCTTCTTTTGGATAAAGAAAGGAATACCGATAAGTCTATCTAGGTCTATGGTTAACTTTCTCAAAAAAAAAAAAAAATCTATCTAGGTTTATGAATAAAGTTGGCCCTCACTGTAGTAAGTTCTCACTAAAGTATGTTCTCTCAAAAACAGGTTCGCACTGAAGTAGGTTCCCACCAAAGTCGGTTTCCACCGAAGTAGGATCCTATTGAAATAAATTCCCATAGAAGTAGGTTGAAATACTTAGTCTCTCAAAAAGAATTTCTCTTTCAACTGTGGGCACTAATGTGGCTAACAATTTGAATTTTCCATGATTGATCGTGAACCAAGTCAGATGAAAATTATGCTTTATACAGGGAAAACAAGTGTCTTGAGAGCTTTTTATGGATCACGAGTCTTGGCCAGCCAAACTTTCTCCAAGGGCATGTGTTGTGCTTTCAGCCAAGGCATATTGAGGGCTTACCCAAGGTCTCTCTCAGGCTCACCTAACAATTAAGGTCCAAGACCATGCTCCCCTTGCCTATAGGTGACTGCCTTCCACGTTCGAAAATATGAGGACCAAAGTCCTTCCTCCAGCCTACGCAAGCCATCAAGGACCTACGTCTAACTTTCCACCGTTGGCTGGATGTCTCTTTTGCTAAGGGGGAAAATTAGACCACTGTTGGCCAGATATCAATAAACCATTTTGCATGACCCCTGATTCAGGTATGTCCAGCCATGCAGGCTCTAGCTATTCAATAGAATACATAACAGAAACTACAACTGATTTGAGAAGGACAACTTAAGGTTTATCTTTTAAATAAGAAGGAATGCAAAAAAAGAAGAAAAATATGAAGAAAATAAATATGCTAAGAAAAAAGAATGGTCATCTATACATAAAGCTTAATCACAGATAAGTCTTTCACCTCTGTAATCATTTTATTGTCCATCATCAAAAAAAAGTCATAAGTTTAATATGAAATGCTAAAATTTTAAAAGAGCCAATGCTACATCATCATCGTCATCAAAGCCTTTTCCCAGCTATTCGGGTTCATCTACACGAATCATGGTCTGCCATTCTGAGGGCCAATGCTACTTATAAAGGAAAAAAGGAAAGGGCTGATGCTCATTAAAAATTCTTACTAACAAGAAAAATAGAAATATAATCTAGCTGGTGGTAGTTTATTACTCCAGAGTTTCCATCTAAACTTTAGTAAGAAATTTATTGACACAATAGTCATCAACGTATTACACAGTCTTAAGTAGTAGCAAAAAATGAGAAAGAGATCAAGAACCAACATAACCATGAAAGTGGTTATCCAGTATAAAAGAAAATTCCCCAATATGATTCTCAAGATCAGTAAAACAGTACATAGACTAAAGAACTCACAGTATCTCATCACCTACTCCAATGACTGATGCTGTGCGTATGTTGTTGTCATGTAAATCTATGTTGCTTAGGCCATTACTCAGAGATGGTACACCACTCAACTTCTTTGCTCTCCCGGCTCTCTCAAGTCTTCCATCGGGCAGCAGATATGCTGGTCTGAATTTCTCTTCATCGCTAGAGGAATCACTGATGCACAATAAAGCATTTGGCACTGTATCATGTATGCTCCCAATTGAGGTATATCTGTAGATAAAAACATATCAGGCATCAACACTTAAATCTTATTTCCACTTACAGCTCTGACAAAACAATTTTTGTCTTCGATGCTAGGGCCCCAGCCCTACATCCAATGCTCTAAAAAGCAGAGATGCCACCTAGGTGGCCATGGGTCCTAACCACCTAGGCTGGCGCCTAGGTAAGGTGTACCCCAAGCGCGGGGGGGGGGGATGAGAGGGATTTGTTATATGTATATATATATATATATATATGTGTGTGTGTGTGTGTATGTGTGTGTGTCTATATCATAAG